AGAGAGAGATATGCATACACTACTACACTTCATTCAACACTGTGGTTTGGCACTTTGGGGAATCAGGTCCATCTATGAAACACTGAAGATAGCATCAATCAGTTAAGTGACAAACCTTTTTACTTCTATTAATTCTCTCTCTCTCTCTATATATATATATATATATGCATACACTACTACAATTCATCCAACACTGTGGTTTGGCACTTTTGGGAATCACTCATCATTAGCAGATGTTTTGGTGATACGGTCTTGCTCATTTCTTATATATAATTGCACATTTAAGAATAAAGGTAACAGTTACACATAAGGTCGTCAATCCAGTAGTGAGTGCTACTATTGGAAGGTCGGGGGTTCTCGCATAAGTCTGAGTCATACTCAACAGATTCCAGCTAGACTTGCAGATACTTTTAAGTAGTTACTACCTATAGATTAGTCACTCATAGTGGTGACAGGTTATTCCATTACATCACATTTGAACTCATTATATTCACTTACATACTAATACCCTTGGGAACGGTATGTATACTCTTCTTCTCTTCCATCTTTGGGCAAATAGCAAGACAGACTGGGTTCTATAGCCTTGGATGGCAACTGGTCTACTGCAGAAAAAAATGGCAACCTATTGTGGGGAAAAAATCTGCCTCGTATGTCATGTATCAAATGATACATGATCGCCTAAGCATGTATCATGCAAGTCACATAACTGACTGACGACAATATTATGAATTTAGGTTAGGTACAAGCAGTGGAAGATCCTAGAGATATTTTTATGTCATTTTCGGGGGGGGGGGCATTCAACCCATCAAACATAAGAAGCAAAGTTGAATTTTGATAAAAGGAATCTTTTTGAAGTTAATATTTTGTTGCAAAAAATAGATCACTAATAAAAATTTCTCTCCACAAAAGATTTTCAGTTATACAGTGTAACTAAATGAAAATGATAGCATAGCCACTTTCCCTCACTTGCAATTTTCTGATTTTAGTTAATTTAGTATAGCAGTCACAAGAAAGCAAATATTTAGATTACATTATTAGCGCTAAGCAAGTACTAAAGCTTACCCACAAAATCTGCAGTTAATTTACTTCCATTTAATTTTTTTTCAAAGCCATATCACTTAATAAAGTAGCTAATCATGCCTCTCCACAGACTCCATTTTCTTTATTATCTGTAAATTGCTATGATTTCTTGGGAAAGATAGTGGAGTGCTTACCTGTTGCCTTCTTTTGAATTAAGAATAGTACACTCATACCTTGGTATTACAGACCACCTTTTAAAGGATACTGAAAGTAACAGACAAAATATGAAAAATAGGTATAGTTTTTTCATAGAAAAACCCTAGTCTGATATCATGTCCAGTAAAATTGCTGAGGCTTGAGTCAACACCCCTGCTCTGTAAAAATCTACAATCACTACATAAACAATGAATAAATCTCATATTGTTTAAAATGAAGACAAATTTTGCTTAATATGCCTTATTGCAGGGAAGGACCATTCATCCTTCCTCTCTCTATATATATGTGTGAGAGAGAGAGAGGATGGACATAGGAATCAACACTGCAAAGTGACTTGTCAGTTCTATACTTCAATGCAATCTTCAGACCAGCTTCTAATACTCCTTTAGCCGGCTGTATATATGTTATAGATTTGAATCAACCCACAACCAACAAAGAAAAAACCTAGAAAGGTTTTTAAATATAAAATATTTTTATATTTTGTTTGCACAACTAATTTTTCTCAGTTTGTCTGAGTATTAAATTTTGTAGTATTTGTTTGTTAAGATGAAAAGAAATGAGATTTCTTCACATGTATGTGTGAGAAAAAAGAGGCAAGGGAGAGAGTGAGGAGGAAAGTGTAAATGTCACATATCTTGGTGAAAAATATGGGCAAATGAGTAAGGAAATCTCTTTGAAGCCGCAGTGAACTGTTGTCATATGTTATCATCTCTTACTCCTTACTGGTTTGTTTAGTCTGGTGATTTTGCTTATATACTCTTCAAAGGAATCATGAAGCATGTTTTTTTATTATTGGCAGGAATGCAACTCATTGGTTGGAAAATGTTAAATATTTATTTTTAAAGGATTAATTTATTAACTGGAAGGATGTGTGGATCCTCCAAATCAAAAACCATTTTTTGTCATCTGATTATTGAATGTCTTGGTGTTTATTTCTGTCTTCACTCTGCATATAAACGTTGTTCCAATAACTTGGACAGATTTTAAATGTGAATTAAGTTTAAGTATCTAATGATTTTTTTTTCTTTCAGATTTAACAACTTAAGTCTTTGGCAATTTCAACCATGGAAAGATTAACAATCAAACAGCGTGTTAAAGTTTCAAGAGTGCAATTTGAAAAATTATTCATAAATTCATACAAACTGTGTCAGTGGCAGATGAGAAAACACCATTGCATGCTTATTTAAGCTGTTCAGCTGAAAACATTGCTGCAGTGCACAAGAATGTGGCCGAAAATCCAGACATTTCTACTAGTCATCGCACGCAGGAATTGAACCTCTCTACAACAATGTTACATTGTTAACAATTGCACTCTCAGTTGGTTGGTTATGTTGACCTAAAAAAATTGCAAAGTGCATGAAATGCATTTATGTTTGAACGTCCATTTTCATTATAGGCTTCAATAACTTCAACACATTGTTTGATTGGATTGTTCTTTCCATGGTTGAAATTGACAAAGACTTAAGTTGTTAAATCTGAAAGAAAAAGAAAAATTCATTTGCTGCTTAAACTTAATTAATACTTAAAATTGGTCCAAGTTATTTGAACAACATTTATAACAGGTTGTGTATATGAGTCAAGAGGAGAATAAGGAAAGTTAGGGCAAGATAAATCCACATTTCCCAGTTTCTTTAGGTTAGGACTAATGCTAAGAATTATTTATTGTCACAACTTCTAAATTGCTTATTTATTTATGATTTGCTTTGCATGTTTTTTTCCTTCTATTTTTATTGGTTTTCTAAGTTTTAGTATTTGCAATAAAGTTTATTTGATGTAGGCTATGGGATTTTATTTAGTCTTTTTGATCATTATGTTGTAGGTATCACAAAAGTAATTTGCTTTTGTGCCCCCATTTGGAAATGAGCTTTGACCTCTTGTTTAGGCATTTATCTTGTTCTGGAAAGTTTATTGGCATTTCCTCCTCTCAGCAAAGGTTACATTGTTTTTTTTTTGAGCTGTTGTTGTAACTTTGAGGTCATGACCACAAATAACCCTCAGCATTAACCCTAAAATAAAGAAGCCTAAGCACTAAGCCTTTCACCCACTTCCCTCAATGACCTATATACACAGTCCCCCAAAGGTGCAGTAGCACTCAGTCTGAAGATCATATTGAAATGTAAAACTAACAGTCACCATGCAGTGTTGACAACTATGTCCACACTGTCTACATTTCTAAATGCACTATTTTCTCTTTTAAGCAATCTTCTTTTAAATATAGCAAATTTTAAGCTATGTGCGTGGTGAGACAGAAAGACATAGCAAAATCTGATGGCCTAGACAATTGAGAAACACTCATGAATGTCAATGGTCGTCAGTTATTAGTCAGATAAATCCATGATGCCATAAAAAATAGATTGTTCATATATCTTTTTTTGTTCCAAGTTGAAACAATAGATATTTTTAAAAGCCAGACAATTTGAATCATTACAGATATTTGAGTTTGTCAACCTTTTTTTCTAGAATGATGATAATCATTGTTGCATTACCTACGACTTTTGAGAAGTCATTAACATTCCAGATTTGGAAGGATAATCATTGTTGGTTTTGAAATTATTAATCCCAATTTGACTGCTGTGTAAAATAAATTTGCCTGATAGTAAACAAATCAGACTTGTATATTATACAAAACTGAGTTGTCTATGATATTATTAAAAATAATAAGATTTAGACCCATAAAATCATCTATATTCTAAATCGGCATCATCCAGAGAAGTTTTTATGCTATTTATTTGAACTTATTGCAATGTACATTTAAATGAATCCTCAAAAACAGCTTTAGTGAGTTAATCTTTTCATGCAGAATCTATTTGCAGGTTTATATTTGTAATTTTATCAAGCATTGTTTAGTTTTTACTACTTCAGATATTTCTAGAAAATTATTTTAGTTTCCTCATTTATAAAGGGCTCATATTACTTTTCTTTTATTCTTTTTTGTATAGTGAATTCAAGATGATAAACTACATCGGGCAGCAAGACTTCTGATCAGGAGGTTTTGAGGAGTGTGGAACCACCTCTTAATTGCTGTTGCTCCCTGACCCAAGGTGGTAGTATCTGTTAGGGTCCCAGCTATGAGCAAATAGTTAACCCCCAAACTGGAGTCCTGGGTATGATGATAAACTACATCTGGCACCGGGTAGATAGAGATCAACAGGAAGGTAGTCCACCTAGGGGAAGGAAAATTCTTATTTCAAACCTTTGCTGCCTTGCAGCTATATCCAGCCATAGAAAAGGCTTCAGTAGTAAACCTCGAGGAAAAATCCAGAGACAGAGTCCCCAAGGCAGTTCACCGTTGTACCCAATTCATTCTGGCAGCACCTGTGATGGCACCAGGCCAGTCCCAAACTATAGTGACCTTGTTGTTCCTTTGGCCCCACCAGTGTTGTGGCATCAACACAACATGGAGAATGGCAGCTACCGGTTATAAGCTACCACTCAATTGGCGTCATTCTTGCCAGTGGAGAGATTTTTGGACAGCTACTGCCCGCCTCAAGCTGGGCAGCCTCCAGCCAGTAAGGTGTTGTCCCGCCACGGTCTGCCTTCTTCAGTGGGTGCATGGAGATTAGGAGACATCTGACAAGCAGACTGCAACCTTCACACCAAGCAATAACAAGAATTTACAAAAGAAATCAGCTCTAAAACTGGGCTGTTGGAACATCCAGACTATGATGACCGGCCTCTCTGAAGACCACCAGGACATCAGTAACGCCAGGAAAACTGCCATCATCAACAATGAGCTCAAAAGGCTTCATGTGGACATCACCACTTTACAGGAAACATGTCTGGCTGACTCTGGATTGCTGAAGGAGAAAGACTACACATTCTTCTAGCAGAGGAAGAGCCCCGACGAAACACGCCAACACGGAGTGGGCTTCACAGTGAGGAACAGCCTGCTGAATAAGGTAGAAACAGGCAGCAACGGCTCTGAGAGACTCCTTACTCTTTGCCTCAACACTACCACAGGCTCTGTCATCCTTGTCAGCATGTAGGCCCTGACACTCTCTGCCACACTAGACACCAAGGATGAGTTTTATGATAAGTTGACAACCACCACCAGCAGTATCCCCAGAAAGGAACTTGTTATCCTAGGCGACTTCAACGCCAGAGCGGGTGCTGATCATGACTTTTGCCTTCATGCCTTGGACAGTTTGCATTGGCAAGATGAATGACAATGGCCAGAGACTGCTCGAGTTATGCACTTACCATAAGTTGTGCACAGCCAACTCCTTCTTCAGGACCAAACCCCAGCACAAGATCTCCTGGAGACATCCGCGCTCAAAGCACTGGATCTCATACTGGTCAGACAAGCCGCCATTAAGAACGTCCTTCACACACATTCTTACCACAAGGTGAACTGCAACACAGACCACTCCTTGGCGTGCTGCAAGATCAAGCACCTCCTTGTGCAACTGTTTGTCAAGAAGTTTGAGAACAAGCAGACAACCTTGTGGACCAGAGACTCTGCCATGGAGAAGTGGGTGACCTTGCAGAACACCATGCACCAAATTGCCTTGGACACCTTTGGGAGAAAGAGGTCAAAGTCATATGGCTGGTTTGAGGCAAAGTCTGCCGAGATGGCTTCTGTCATTGTGGCCAAACGTGCCACTCTTGCAGAATACAAGCAGTCACCCAGAAAAAGAAACCTGTAGATCCTCCAAGCTTCCAGAAGCAAAGCTCATCAAACTGCCAGACACTGTGCCAATGAGTACTGGACAGAGTTTATCAAAACAATCCAGACAGCAGCAATTACAGGGAACAAAAAAAAGGGATGTATGATGGCATCAAGACAGCTCCCTTCAAATCCACCACTGTCATCGTAGACAAGGACAACAGATGGAAGATGGGTGGATCACTATTCTGACCTCTACTCCAGGCAGAATGTTGTGATGACTGCAGCCCTTGATGCCATTGACTGCCTGCCAGTTGTGGAGGACCTTGATACCAAACCGACCATAGAGGAGCTTAGCAAGGCCATTGACATCTTGGCCTCAGGGAAGGCCCCTGGCATTGACGGGATCCCCCATGACCTGATTGGGCACTACAAGACTGCCCTACTGCTCCCATTGCACAAGGTCCTCTACCAGTGCTGGAAAGAAGGGGTTGTAACTCAGGACATGAGAGATGCCAAGATTGTCACCCTCTGCAAGAATAAGGGTGAACAACTACAGAGTTATCTCGTTACTCAGCGTTGTGAGCAAAGTCTTCGCTCAGGTCATCTTGGTCCACCTGCAGAAACTTGCCGAACATGTCTACCCAGAGTTGCAGTGTGGTTTCTGAGCTGAAAGATCAGCAGTAGGCATGGTTTTCTCTCTCCAACAGCTCCAGAAGTGCAGAGAACAGCAGATGCCCTTGTATGTCACTTTTATTGATCTCACCAAGACGTTCGATCTTGTCAGCAGAGAAGGCCTCTTCAAAATCCTGTCCAAGATTGGCTGCCCACCCAAACTGCAGAGCCTGACTGAGTCATTCCACAGTGACATGCAGGGGACCGTGCAGTTCAATGGCAACACCTCTGAGCCCTTCAACATCTGCAATGGGGTCAAACAGGGCTGCGTCCTCACTCCCACTCTCTTCAGGATTTTCTTTGCATTGCTTCTGAAGCATGCATTCAGTACATCAAGAGAAGTGATTTATCTGCATACGAGATCAGATGGTGGGTTGTTCAATCTCACCCGCCTCAGAGCCAGGACCAAAGTATGTGAAGCCCTTGTCAGAGACATGCTTTTTGCTGACGATGTGACAGTAGTGATTCATACCCAGTGTGAACTTCAGTCACTGATGAACTGTTTCTCCCAGGCCTGCAGAGACTTGGGCTGACCATCAGCCTGAAAAAGACAAACATACTGGGACAAGGTACCGAAACACCACTAGCTATCACCATTGATTATGAGCTTGGTGTGGTCCATCAGTTTCCATACTTTAGCTCCACCATCACTTACAACCTCTCCTTAGATGCAGAGATTGACAAGAGAATCAGGAAGGCAACCACAATACTTGTGCGCCTCACAAAACATGTGTGAACCAATCCCAAGATGGCAGTGTACAACGCCCGCATTATCAGCACACTGCTATATGGCAGTGAGGCTTGGACCACATATGCCATGCACAAAAGGCGTCTGAACACCTTTCACATGAGAAGCATCCTGGGAATAGCATAGCAAGATAAGGTGCCCGACACTGAGGTTCTGTCTCACGCAAATTTCCCAGCATGTTCACACTGTTTAGACAGCACAGACTCTGTTGGTTGGGTCACGTCCATTGCATGCCAGGCAGATGCATCCCCAAAGACCACCTATATGGAGAGCTGACTGCTGGAAGGAGACCCATCGGGCGGTCACAGCTGCAAAACCGCAATGTCATGAGATGCGACATGAAAGCTGTGGACATCAACACAGAGTCCTGGGAGAGTCTGGCAGTCATACAATCCAAATGGAAAGGAACCCTGACCAAACACCTCGAGTCCAGAGAGGAGAAGCTGACACAAATCGCCATGGAAAGGTGGGCCTGCAGAAAGCAAAGTGACAGCTCCAACAGACCAGAGACAGAACCCACATGCGACCTCTGCAACTGAGACTGTCACTCTCACATTGCCTCTACAGTCACAGATATCGATGCTCCAGCCAAGCAGACACCTAGGATGCTACCCATGGTCAGCCCTGACAGATGGAGGTATACAACAAAAGTAGATTAAACTTTTTGAAAATTTTGAGGCGTAGACTTGAAATATGTTTGGCGGTTTTAATTAAGTGCAGTGTAGCACAAGATGTGCCCTGGATGAACTTAGCAGATATATATATATATATATATATAAACACCCACCTGAGAGGAAGATCTCATATATCCACACAAGAATGTAAGGCCAATGTTTGAAGAGAGCCCCAGGTTACACATACATGCTAGCCAACAGTAATTGACAAAATTCAGAGTTGAATAAAATGTAATGTTATGTATGAGAGATTAAGTTTAATGTTTTCATTTGTAATGCATGACAACAATCAACATAGCATGTCTAGAAAATTTTTTTTTTTTTTTTTAGAAAAGTCTAATATTAAAAGGTGCCTAACATCTGCCTTTTTCAAGCAATGTTTTATTCAATTTCTGGGTATTACCTGCTTTACAGCTTGTGTTTCATTAACACAGATCAAAGTCATCAGTAAATAAATCAATGTTATTGGTGAAAATTTACTTATTTCTCTATTAGATCATGTTATTTAAGTCATGGCAGTTATGTGTGAAAAATAATATCGCCCAAATGTCCACCAAGGCTTCAGCAGCACACCTCCAATCAATGATCAACATTTTTGATGACATCTCTGCATAGTTGTTCCTCGATCTCACCAATATGCCTTATTATCTCATCCTTCAGCTGTTGAATTGTTGTTGGCATAGACTTTACTTTTGAGATGACCCCAAATAAAGAAATCTAAAGGCGTGAAGTTGCACAATCGTAGTGGCCAATTGACTTTACTGTTTTGAGAGATGATGCAACCTGGGAACATCTCATTTCATTTCTGTTTGAACGTCCATTTTTGTAATAGGCTTTGATAACTTTAACATGTTATTTGATTGTTAATCTTTCGATGGCTGAAATTGCCAAAGACTTAGGTTGTTAAGTCTAGAATAAAAAGAAAAAAATCATTAGACGTTTAAACTTAATTCACAAAAATCAGTCCAAGTTATTAGAACACACTAATAATAATAGTTGGAATAATTTCAGCATAAAGTAGAAAACTAAAATGAATATGCAAATACTTAAAAATTTATTCATAAAATATTACCTTAGTTTGATATTTTGCTAGTTTTCAATAGAGCTATTCACTAAATACCTTTATTCAAATTAAAAATACTTTTATTCAAAAAGATGAGACCATTATTCAAAATAAAAAAAATTCTCTTATCCATTGAACAGCTTCTTTTATTCAATATAAAAAAAACACTTATTCAAAGTAATGAAATTGCTATTCACTACTACAAAGCTAAGAATTCAAAATAACAAGGCAATTAATGAATCCAAAACACTTTTGATTGCCTGAGAATAAAAACCAAAACCGAAATTCATGAAAATAAACATCCTTCAAAATTTGAGTAAGCTTGTTCTTTAATTGCTTTGTATTGCATGAAGCCTCAGGATCAACAGAAAACTGCTTTCAAAGAACTAAAGATCTCTTCTATTGGTTGTAACATTGGACTGTCAGGTAGCAAAAATTTAACAGCTCATTACTTGTAATTGCACTTAGCACAACTCAAGTTGTATAATGCCACATTCTCCTTCCCACCATCTGCAACAGGACAAAGGTAGAAATTTGGCCTATATAAATATCAGGATTTGACCAAAATCCTCCTTAGAGCCATGCTGAAGGTTATCAATATTTATTTACAAAAAGAAAATACATTAAGTGAATTTATTCATGGTGGATGTGAATGCTGTTAAGAGATAGACGTAGAGAGAGTTCTGGTTTTACTTACCTGCATTTATCTTTAGTGGGTCAAAGTTTTCAGGATTTATTCTGATTGTTAGAAATCATGCTTGGATTTAATCTTTTGTTGCTTTGAGCATGATCAGTTTGTGAATTGTTGTTTGATTTCGTATTCCATCTCACATTTCTATGGTGCAGTAATGCGTATGTATTCTTCATTTGTCTCCAAGATGATCCCTCAGTCTAACTGTAAAGATGTCAACAGCATCATATATCTGTCTGTGCCTGTTCCTTAAATAACCATGGACAGGCTCCCAGACAGGACATTGGATTTAAGCAGGAAGGTATATCATTGACCAATGAAGATGTTTAAAGATATTGGTGTTTGTTGCTATGTGGATGTTGTGTGCATAGTGACAGGCCATTATTATCACTTTCTTAATTTTGTTTGGGAAAAAGTCTCAACAATAAATAATTCAAATAAGTTGGCACCAAATGCAACAATAATTTGATAAGCTATAATTCCTCTAAAGGAAATAATACATAAAATGCTACAATTTTGTAGGATTTACAATTAGGTAATACATATCCATAGTTGCAGTTCATGTGTAGATTAAACCATTTTAACAAAAACAGTCAAATCTGAATTTATAATGGATAACATTCTCTTGCATTCAGAGATTGTCTTTGGGAAGTCAAACTAAACATTTTTGTTTGTAATTCATTAATGATAAACACCTTGAGATTTTCTGTTGACTGATTCAGATTCCTTTTAACTTTTGAATAATTCCTTTTTGAGTCAAATTAGAAATAGTATTCTATTAATTCTTTGGCCCAGTGATTAATTTCTTCACCAATTCTAGACCTTTTTTAACAAACTCAGCTATGCAAGACCAAGTTGTTTTGGACAGATTTTTATCTCAGATATTTTCCTTTTTTTCTCCTGTTCAATCAATCTCATTACATTATTTTTTTTTTTTTTTAGTAATTTTAATCGTTTTGAGCAAACAGTAGAGTAATAAACAGCAAAAGCAATGATTTATTTCATAGTTTCATTATTTTAAATGCTCATATTTAATGTCTGCCAGGCAAGAAATCAAGCCTTCCTTACTTATGAAAATTATGAATCAAACTTGTATTCATTTTTTTCATCAGGGAAACTACATCTTTAAGTCAAGTGTGCCAAAGAAAACCATAAGCCAGATATCAATTATATATTTAAGGAAAGCGCATATCTTGCTGGGACATTTTGAAGTCTATATCACCTAGCTTTATTTTAGTATTTACTTTAGATTAGCTCTGATCTTTTCAATTAAATTTCAATAAGAGTAGGTGGGTTCATTTATTAACTGGTTCACACTGGTTACCTGTCTATTGAACAATAGAGGGTTACCCCAGTTTAGGATTGGGTTTCTTCTAGTCTTCCTGCATTCTCAGTAACCTCTTGCATCTGAGTGCTATAATTGCCATGCTTGATGTGATAAAAAAAAAAAAAAACGAAAAAAAAAAGATATTCTTTTTTTTTTTTTTTGGCCAATCCATTCTTTGGTCTTTGAAAATCTAATCTAATGGCAACTTTGATATTCATAGCTCTTGAGGAAGGAGATGAAATTCAAATCTTATTTGAAGCTATTTTATTCCAAATTGGCAGGGCCATGTGCATCAAATGATCATATACTTAAAGACAATTTATGAGCTGGTCATAGGACCACTATCTGACAGGACAGGATGCAAGAGACCTATAACTGACAAGTAGTTTTGGAGGTTTTTTGGTGGGGGTGTGGATATATATCAATCTCGGACGATTCACTTGTTTGAAGTGACTTGTCAATATGACCCCCAAACCAATCAAATAATGTGCACAGTTACTTGATTTTAGACCGGAAGATTAAACACAACTTGTTAGCACTTAAATACTCTACTATAGAGTGATATGCTGAAATGAACATGTCTGCTAAAAATGCTGGCCACCTGTCAACTTTTTTTTTTTTTTTTTTTTTAATTACTTAAATTTAATTAAAACCAATTAACAGCACTGCCACATTTGCCCTACAATTTTATTCATTTTTTTTTTTTTTTTTTTTACACACAACTTTGCCAGAAAATTACCTGAAGGGAAAGAACACCTTTATGAAATGTGTTGTAATGCAAAATTAAATTATTTTCAAGGCTGTAAATATTGTCAGAGTGCTGACAGAAAGATGATCAAATTTGCTTGCCCATATAAAATTAATTCAATGCAGGAGACAAAAATGATCTCAAAGGCCTGCACATTCCAGTCATTACTAACATTTTACTTGAATTCATTTTTGTATACATTAAATAGCACAACCACATAAACATCAGGCACACACACACACACACACACATTACATATACAAAATCACATGCAGTCTGTAATAGAAAATTAGTTTTTTTTTTGTTTTATAAGTTTCAGTTGTGCTAACACTCATGCTGCTCCACAACTTCCTATGCCTTGTAGCCCTAAGGTTTTTCTTTTTTTTTTTTTTCATTTCTTCTAATCCCTGTTCTGCCATCCATTTACACAAACTTACTCACCATCTCCCTGCGAGTGTCAGATTCTCCATGCCCTTTTCTCATTCTGTATCCTAGAAATTTCAACTGTCCCTGACTCTAAATATAATTATATAATATTTTAGTCTAGTATTGTATTTCCTGGAATTATCTAGGAATAGCTGTGCTTACCACAATCCATGACATGAGAAAATATCCAGGGTGATTTTTAAAAAATGTTTACATAAGTAAATATATAATGCAACTCTCACCCAGCTTTCCACCATATGCCTTGATTCCTAATCACATCAGTGTGCCCCCCAAACAAAAAAACGGGATAACTACTATGTCAAACTAACAGATCAGCTCTTCCGTTTACTAATGACAAAATCACAAGGCATAAGACACTTGTGATCAAGATAAGATCAAACTTTTCTATGTGGGTGTCCTAACCATAGTGTCACACAAATACTGATTGGCTATATACAACACAATTTCATTAATGCTTTATATATTATTTTGAAGATAATTGACAAATACTTCTTTGAATTATGAAATTTACTCAGCAGTCTGTTACAAAGCCGTAAGTGTAGCAGGTACTAAGAATCATATTCACTACAGTGGTAATGGTATGTGAGATGAGCTTCCATAATTAGTCATGTGACACTCCAGAACTACCATATTTTATGGCAAGCAAAAAGCCACATTTTTCATAAATACTAAAATCTAACATCAGGGTGTACTTGCACTCAGTGGAAGTGGGCAAGCAATAACTGAACAGTAATAAATAAAAAGATAAGAACTAAATGATATCCCTAAACATGAGAACAGTATACTCCAGTAGAGTAAATAAAGGGCTCAGAATACACTTTAAAAATAACATTTTCAAAAGCACATTTTCCATTTTATCATCCTTCACGTCTACCATTTCCTTAGTCAAATTTGAGTCTCAAACCTATTACTTTTGGCAACAAATTTAGGCAAACGTAGTCTAATGATACATTGACACGGAATATGTAAAGATATCCTTTTTTCAGCATGAACTTATCCACCACTGACTAGAGATCAAAAGACTTGAAATTGACATGTGAATAAAATTTCTTCAAAACACATTTGCAAATATTACTGGTAACAAGACTTTATGGAAGTCAAATTTCTTGGATTTGGCACCGACTTCCATTAATTGAGAAAAGGGATGCATGAGAAAAATTTCAGGACTTTTCAAGGTGTCTTTGGGCTATTGCTGTTTTTCCAGGGTCTTTCAAGCCGTAAAAAAAGATCCTGCACAAACCCTGAGGGATGAAACACTGTCAATGCCCTGTGTTGACCTCAATGCCAACTTCCATATTTATATATGTTCTATCCATGATAGAGACCCCCCCCGCAAATATAGCATATGTTAAAACTATATTTTTATCAACCAGACATGCATATATAAAATGTTATATACACACACACATTACTGTGGTAAATTTATGCAAGAAAACAAACCAGCCCTAAATTGTTTTCCTTAAACTTCTGCCCAGTAACTCCTGCCCCACATTAGAAAGCTTGGTTTTACCAACATATGGAACACTTCCTTGTATTATAAGAAAAAAATCTTTATTCAAAAGCCTGGAAGAGTCTACTAACCACACATGCGGAAAGAAAGAACACAACACATGAATGAAATGATTTTTCGTAAAATTTATGAAATAATTAGCTATACAATAAAATTGTACGAGTTGTCTTTCTTTGCAAAATTAGATGATTATATAAGAGTATGGAAGATGAATGAAAATTTGTGCAGCCAAAAAGCCAACAATGTGCTGCTGTCCTTTTGAAACCAGATAATTTTTTTCCCCCCTTTAACATTTTAGATGAGGAGCTTTTCAATACTTTGCTGGACAGCTTGTATCTGAGATTTCAGCTGAGAACCCTCATTAACAGTCACCGAGCAGGCAATCACAGGACGAGATACACCGCAAGCTCTCCCCAGAGCTGAAGAAGAAGAAGAAAAAAAAAAAAAGAAGTTATGCAACAATTAAAATATTACAATTTTAGATAAATGTGAATGAATACGGTGTAATTTATCTGCTCATCACCTTCTGACATGCAAATAGCTCAAATGTTTTTCCTTTCTAGTAATAATCATGTATTGGGTTTGATAACATGTTAGAATAGTAAACATGATCAATTTCTAACATGCAGGCAAATCAGATTCCATCCTAATAAAATAATGCCAGTTTCATTTAAATTGGGGGAAAAAAAAAAAAAAAAAAGGTTTGTAGTATTATTTCGTCCCCATTGTTACTTCTTTGGGAGCCTAGACTAATTTGGGAAGCGCATATACTGCAAAAAGGTTTTTGGAATGTAGAAAGAAAACCAAGCAGAGAACTCCCCTCTTAACATAAGAGAACTGGGGGGGGTACAAGACATTTGCATAAAAAAACTGGGTAATTATAAGAGTTTATAGTTGATGAGCATCTACAATCTGGTACAATTTGTCTTATAGCTTACAATTATAGTTCAGATATAAAGAGTGGAGCTGTTTAAACTGATGCTAAGAGAATATGGATTATTTTTTTCCTTTTTTAGTACAATTTAATGTCTGTACATATGTAAAAATGGATGTAGCCCAAATATTTGATATAAAAATTCAAGTAGTCTTGTTAGGAAGAAGACACACACATATATTCACCAATTCAGTTTAATTTAAGTGAATTAGTAAATTTTTAAATGCTTCAAAGAATATTGTAAAAATAAAAAACGACATGCTTTACCTGTTTAAGAAGCTTGACTGAGAAACAAAGTTTCGTTCATGTTCGAATTTATAGAAACAAAAGAGCAGACAATTCATTAATACAGAAGCTTCAAATTTTTTTGGAATTACAGTATGTCTCTAAACTGAATGTCAGAGATGTTCGGTATTGAGGGTACTGTTCGAATCCAAGAAAGAAAAGGCTGCTGTCACCAGCTTAAAATTTTTATTAAGTTTTAGAGTTTAGGATACAAAAATGTAGTTAGCAATGTTGATTTGTTTTTATGTAAAATGCATAAATGTACAAAAATAATTGACAACCAATAGTAATTAAAAATTGGTGCTAAACAAATATTGTAATTTGTGAAAAACTAAGACTTTATGAAATGTTTGAAAATTTACTAAATATATTATTTAAAAATAATTACAACAGTTAAAGGAAGACAAAAATAAGGATATATAGGGGAATAAATTTTCCAGAATGGCGGAATTGTTAGTCTTAAATGGCATCTGGGTTTTTTTAATGAAATTTTCAAAAATAAATTATTTGATTTTTTTTTTCTTTTAATTTAACTGTCTCTCCGATTCTGTTGAACATTTTAATATAACAATAACATACCAGTTATTTCCTTAAAATTTGTTTTTACAAATTTTTGTAGGTATTTGCCTTATAAAACCTGAAAAATAATTAACAAAAATGTTTAAAGTGGATTGTTGATTTTTTTTTTTTGAGAATATGTTGTCTAGTCTATTTTTAAATATTTTATAACTTTTCTAAGAAACCCTGTTGCAAATGAGATGAAAGTCAGGTCACAGCTCAATCGTGACCACCGAAATCCAGTGCTAAAATGGCAATGGAAGATAGACACTAGTTGATGTCAAAATTGGAGGAGAGATGAAGATAAAAAAATAAAATAAAAACTCCTGATTAGTATTTTAATGTTATAAAAATGTTTTAAAATCAACATGAATATTCTAAGATTTATCTGCAATAAGTTTTTTCTTTTCTCAAATATGACCACCTGAAACTGATCAAGTTTATAATTTCTTAAACCAAGTCTTACCTTGTTTAGATCGCACAAAAACATAGGGCACATTCTGAAAGTAAGAGAGAAGCAAATGAATACACAAACTTTAAATGAAGATTTGTTTTTCATGTTAACAGCCATGTATTTATATGCCTTAAGTGAGTCTATATTACAACAAAACCAAGGTACAAGAGTCAGTTTTCTTTTTATGACAAAGTGTACAATTATCTAAACTTCAAGCAGATTGCATGGATGAAACAAATTTCCTTTCCATAATTTAAAATTTGAATTCTTTACAATTTATACAATAACTTAAAGAAAAAAAAAAAAAGAAAAAATTCATTATTACGCTGACAAGATGAAGTTTTATTTTTCTTAAAAATAATCTTGTAAAGATATCCCTAGTTACAAAAAGAGAAAACTTACTTTGTCTTCACAAAGAAGAGGAAGATGAAGAAGAATTTCCAGAGGTTCTGCATCAGCAGCCAGAACAATAAATTCTGAAATACCTCTGTTCAAGGTTTTTGTGGCTGAAAGATAAAAGACAAAAAAAAAAAAAAAAAAAAAAAAAAATGTTTAATCTATTTGCCAGAGTATTTACAAAATGCCCACGAGATAAACAAACAACTGGCATGTATGGCCAGGAAAAACTAAAAATAAACATTGACACTTGAAAAGATTGAAATTAATAGTGTGTTTTGATAATAGCATCAGAAAGCACCCAAGAAGTTTACAGAATTTGATTTGTACAACAAAAAAAAAAAAAAAAAAAAAAAAAGCATGGATTTTACAACTTTGTTTATTTTCTATTGCTTATCAACACATTGAGAGTTATTTAAAGTCAGATAATATTTTTTTTTATTCTAAGAATTTTTTTTTTTTTTTTTTGGAGATAATAGTTTAGTGATACAATTCTAATTAACTCATAGATGCGAGGGGTGACAAATATGTGGATTCATACCTTTCCTAAGGGTATTTGTGTGTACGCAAATACAACAAACCCAATAGGAATTGGTTAACAATTCAGAAAACCCCTTTACATCATCCACAAATCCAAGCGTACAGCACCTGGTAATGATTAAACTATATTGCCTAACTTCAGTGATTGTATGGGAGCCAGTGTTTCAAAGTGATGTGGCCATAAACCAAGCCAATATGGAAACAGGCCAAGAAATAAAAGGCAGACAGAATGTATTTTCCATAAGTTAAATAATACTGCATAAACAATTTTAATATAAAAATCAAACATTCAAACTCACAACCATCAATCAAGTCATATGCAGCAGAAACAAATTTATAATAAAATAATTATTGCCATCATTTTTTGATGCATTTAATTTAAAGTAGCTAGTAAAAGCTACCCAAAATAGTATATTTTCTGGAACATCTACCAACCACCCCCACAATAAGGAAAAGTGTTTTTTACTTTAAAAACAGGGCCTCTTCCTAATATCATGTTTGTTAATCCATCTCTAGCATTTATTGCAAGTGTTTAGGCTTGAAAATGTTTTGATTTTATAACTTAAAGGGATAAATAGAATTGTTGAAAGTTACTAAAGACAAGTATTAACTGCTTCACAATCCAGTGATTTTTTAAATCACCCATCCCCAACTCTCCAGGCTAAATGTCTGAATAAGTGTCCTGGGAACTAATTCAAGGAAATATGGTAAAGAAACCACTAAGATAAAAATACTCAAATGTTGATAACCCTAACTGGATATCTATGCCTTATGGAGAAAAAAAAAAAAAAAAAAAAAAAAGTCCAGTGATGTATATTGCTGTTACACAACAACCAAACAGATCCCAAGACTTCTGACAGACAATCTGATTATATTGTGTAGAATCACTTACTTTTCAGAACTGTTAGCAGAAATGGTGCAGTGTTTCATGAATTTGCTAATACAGTTTCACAAGAGTCCTGTTTGCTCTGCTATTTAACCCACAGCTGAAGCAAAAGATGGATTCATGCCTTTTCTGGGGACAATAGCATGAAGTAAACAAAATATAATTTACTAGAGTTTGAACTTGTGCCAATAACCATTACACTAATCACACATAGACAACATATCAACTAACTTCAAAGCAATTACAAATAGAAATGCCTTTTATTATTCACAGTATTGGCTTTTGTAGTAAGCAGTCTTTCAAACTATTGCAAAGAACCTATTGAATCTGGTATGCGAAATGTGCAAGTTTTTTTTTTCTTTTATTCAGTAACTTGAAATTTACATAAAAAGGTCCTGTCACCGGGTGGATAAAAAAAAAAAGAAAGAAAGAAAAAAAAAAAAAAAAAAAGACTAATATATTTCTTTAAGATTACAATTCGTTGGAAGCCATATAAAAAAAAAAAAAAAAAAAAGTTTTTTTGATTAAGTCAAGTTTTTAAAAAGTTAACTATATTTAAAAACTAAGAAACTTAATCAATAAAAAAAAATTCTCATGAAGCTGTATATTATTAAGTAGGTATCCCCCCCCAAAAGAAATGATACCAAGTTTAAAATGCATAAAAGTTCTTGAAGCTTTAATTTTAGTCCTAATTCCAAGCTAATGAATTAAATTTAATATACCCAATAAGTAAAATAATTTGGCATATTTCAAACTGAATTTAAAATTTCAAATCTATAAATGTAACAAATTAAAAAAAATTTCATAAATAATCTCATTCAATTCTGTACAAGTCCCAAAAATCAGACAATTCTTATTTTTGCAAGAATTTCCAAATCAATGTCTTTCACTGGCAAAAAAAAAAAAAAAAAAAAAAAAAAGAAAAGAAAAGAAATGCTCAAACAAGACTTTAGCTAAAATTACCAAGGCTCTATATAATTATTATATCAAAAACTCCTTTGATCTTTCCACTTAACAAAAATTGCCATTATATTTTGGGTTTTTTTGCAAATTCTTAGAGGTACCAATTAAGAGAAATATTTATAAACTACAGTTAAACACTACAATTCAGTCGGTATCGCCAAATCTAGGAAACTTACCTTCATTAGCTCCCTTTTTCAATTGTTTATAGTTGGAGGCTTGTTGAACAAGGTTGAGAATATTATGAGTAAGCTGAGGGTCAGCCATGGGATAGGCTTTGGGGTTAACTTCTTCAGACTGAAAAGATAATAATTTGGTTATAGACAAAGAAGAAAGGAAAGAATTAACATTATCAGAAACAATGCACAAGCAAAATTTACTGTGGAATGTGGAAAGAAAAAAAAAAAAAAAGTTTAGTTTGAGGACAGACTAAAGATAAAAACAGATTGCTGTAATATTTAAGTTATATATAGCAACACTTAATGTTGTTACAAGTTAGAGACACAGGATATATGGTTAATGTACCATTATTGGTTAGCCAAGATCTAATTCTTTAGACATGAATCCATCTATTCTATCCCAGCTATGGATTTTCTAATTTTAAGTGATAGCCAGTATAGTAGTACTACCATTTTGAATTCAAAAGTGTGTAGAAGGCAATAGGAAACTACTACACTAAAAAAGTTAACCAAAAAAGAGCTAATATTTGTTGCAATGTGATCTAATCAAAATATCCAACAGGATGTTAATGTTCCATCACACTGTCCAAGTTCTCTCGTGTGCTATTATCTGGTTGAATGATTGGGATATGTGGATGGAATTTTAGCGGAACAGACCGTGGAGAAGTTTTATGTTACTAATCGTCATGGTGACGGGACTGGCAATGACTAAGGAAAAAAAAAAAAAAAAAAAAAAAAAAAAAAAAAAGGTAATTATTTACATTGTCCTCATCTTTACAAATATGAGGACAACAGTCTGAACAAGGTAAATAATGACAATACCTTACCTTGGAAAGAGATATTGAAGAAAAAAGGTGTCCATGAAGAGACGATCACCTACTTCTTGAAAGTAAATGGCAATTTTTTTTTTAAATTAACAAAAAGGAGCTAATTTTTGTTGCAACATGATCTAATCAAAATATCCAATGATCCATTTTACACTGTCCAAATTTTTTTTGAGTGCTATTATACTTTTTGGTTGAATGATTGGGATATGTGGATAGAATTTTAGTGGAACAGACTGGAGAAGTTTTATGTTACTGAATGCCATGTAGGCAAGGGCAGAGATGGTGAAATAATTGGCAAATTCAGAATAGGAACTTATAATCATAAAGAAAAAAATAAATTCAATAGTGGCAAATGGTCAGGTAGTAACCAATACCTGGTTTCAGGGTACATCAAAAATGTACATGGGCAGGAAAAAAAAAAAAAAAATTGTGATTCAGGAATGCAGTTTTATACTGCAAAACATAACCAAGTAACAACTGTGTGAGTGACCACACCTTCCAGCAATATATAAACAGAGCCAAACTACAGAAATTGAAGATGGCCAAGGCGGTCCCCAAATTGCAATATGACAAACTCCTGAATGACCCAAATGTGAACGAGAAATATATGAACAGTGTTAAAAGTAGATATAATGGGCAAAAGGAGAATGGAAACTAAGGACACATTAAGATAAGCACAAGTCCCTTCACTTTTTAGGCATAAATTTGATACCTAAGGTTTAGAATTAAATTTTAAAAATGAAAATTTTTTAAAGATTTCATTTTAGCTTTAATTGAAAGCTTAATAATTAAATTTATTATTTCCATTAAGTAAAATATTCTGGAGTATTTCAGATAGAAATTATATAGATTGGAATGTCAAATTTAATTTTGATTTCTTAAAAGCAACCATTGTCTTAATTTTAAGAAATTTGTAAACAAGAAGTTATTATTATTATAATAATAATAATAAGTATTAAAACTGATATGCATAAGAAAAAAAAAAATAGCACAAAAAACAACACATGCTCACCAACAGGATGCAAGAATGAGACACTGATATTAGAGAAAAAAAATACTTTAGAGATGAAATGAATACATCAGAGAACTCTGACAAAAGATAACTGGCAATAGACAGAAATATTGATAAATGAAATACACAACAGTGGTGATATACCAGAAGACCCAAGTTCATAGCACTGCTTAAGAAGTCAGGTGCCAATGAATACAAACTCCAGACAATCACCCTAATGGGCCATATAACAAAACTTATCCAAATTCTGATGAATAGAGCATGCATCAGAATCAGACCAAAAATAGGACAAGAACAGTGTGGGCTCGTCTAAAACAATGGAACAAGCAATGTGATATTTATACTCAGAATGGTATCAGGCAGAAGGCACACCCATGTTTTATAGATTATGCAAAAGTGTTTGACGATGTCACAAAGAACTTGTTATTTGGGAAAGAATCCAGAATCTATACTGGCAGCAAACTCCATACATGTAAAAAAGGAGTTTAATAAATATACAAAAATAGGAAGGGGTGCAAGATCTAAAACAAGGGTGTGTCTTTTCAGGCATATTCACCAAACAAGGCGATTCTGAGATAATTTAGAAGTCATAAGATTCATAATTGGCAGCCACAATCTTGTTACACAATATAGGCAGATGACAATGTTGATGCAGAAAGCAAAAACTCCCACAGAAGACAGTGAAGGAAAGCAAGAAGGACTAAACAATAGTTGCAAATAAAATGATAGAATACATGACTATTCACAAAAGGAACAGTCCAAAATGCAAATTACAAATTGGAGATACAAATACAACAATGGAAAGCGTTTTCTTAAAAGAACAGAAAATATGATGGCCTATTGGGATAGTAAAAGGTGCCTTCCAACAGCTAAGCAAAGTAAACTTTAAAATTTCGTTAGAAAAAGAAAATCGTACTGAAATGTTATGTTACAGTTCTCCTATATAGAGTAGCAAATGTTGAACAATCTCCCAACAGATGAATAGAAAGCAACAGAAGGATACAGAATAGTAATAATACCATATAGTATGGAACATGTGAGCAACTATGAAGTTTTAGAATAAAAAATTAAAAAAAAATGGAAAGAAAAAGGAACACGTATACAGTGTAAATGTCCTTTGTTTCCATTGATGTGCCTTAGAAATTTCAACTGTCTGTTCCTGATGTTAAGTATTACACTTATCAGGAACAGTCACTTGAAATTTCTTGAGCACATAATGAGGAAAGAGGGCTAGGAAAATGATACTCACATGACAGATCGAAGGCAAGAGTGACAGAGGAAAACAATATATATCTGGAGAGTTTGCGGTTTGAGTGAATGGGTGGTGGAGCAGGAAGTTGGAGAGATTGCAAAAAGACAAAATTAAAATTTGAGAGCTACAAAGAAAGGAAAGTCGTAGAAAGCCATGGTCGCCAACGATTTGAAAGGACACCGCACATATTGTTCCCACCCCCAATTGTGTACTTTCATAATATAATCACCCTGAGTAACTGGGTACGTCTAGAGAGATGGATAGTGTACTTTTATTAGTCGAATTTTTTCAAGGACAAAAAAAAAAAAAAAAAATCATTTAAAAGCGGATTTTTTTTTTTTGTAGAATCAAAAATTCAAAAAGTTTTATTTTGTTTTTTCTTGAAATTGTATTACTGAAGACACCTTTTTTTAGATTTTTCAATTTTTATGGTAGTAGAACTTGAATCTATTAGGTTCATTTTATTAAATGAAAATGTCAATAAAAATTTTAATTCGCGAGGGTATGATAGCGCCGCTTTTGCCTCGATTACATTATAAAAGATTTCATTTAGCAAAAAAAAAAAAAAAATTGTAAAATTAAAATAGTACTTTCAGATTATTTGAGTAGAATTCAACGATTGGACTGATGCAAAAAAAAAAAAAAAAAAAAAAAAATCAACAAGTGCTGTTCAGTTTGTGGTACGAGATCAAATACTTTGGCACAAAAAAAAGGTTACTTTTTTTTATATCACACAGCGAAGAACTAGCTTCCAACGGTTGGCAAATGTCGCATCAAGAAACTAATAAAAAAAGGTTAAATCCGACATTAATTCAAATCTTACAACACAATTTTACTTTTTAAGTGACTTTTATAATGAGAAAAGCTCAAAAAAAAAAAAAAATAGAACGTTAAGACGTCAGTTAGCAGTTGTAAGTTATCAAGTATGACACTGTACTGAAAGAGTTAACAGCGGATCATTGTCTATACTGAATTCAGATATATAAACATTTTTGTAAAGAAACTAATTTTAACTTCTCATATCGTAGCGAAAGTGAATAAACACTCAAGTGTTCAGTAGTAATAACGCATCACAACACGCCTTGTTATGCTTCAGACCACGTGGTGCACAATAAAGCAAGTACTGAATGAAGATTGAAGAACATTCAGAATTAATAAAATACTGAACATTATAAAATCTGAATATAAAAAAATAAAACGTTTTCTTTAAATTATATAAATAAACAAAGTGGAAAAAACCTAATTGCGGGCATACAAAAAATAATTTTAGTAAAAAAAAAAAAAAAAAAAAAAAAGTGTAAAATAAATGGTTGCACTGTAGCACTGTTTTTTCTTTCCTTTTAAAATACATAAAAAAGCACACAATGTAAACGAAAAAAATTACCTACAAAAAAGAAAAAAAATGCAACGTAAAAACTTCTACTGGACAAATTTAGTTTCAACAACAATTTGATTATTGCAAAGGGAGCCCATTATTTACCTTTTGATTTAAATATTCAACTTTCTACTGCGTTTAACTAATTTGAAAATATGCGAAATTTATTATAATGCAATTTGTAAAATAAGGTTTTAAAATTAATTAAAAAAGACAACTTTGTTTAGATGACATAGTTTCGTTAAACAAATATAAAAGAAAAAAAAAAAACAAGAAAAAAATGTTACCGCGTGTCTAAAAGAAGAATATTTTTTTTTAAGAATTACTTACCATGATTGACCCGAGATATAAGACAAGATGTTTGTTCAATAGAAAAATGAAGATTAAAAACTGTCCTCTCGGCGTGAATTCGCTTCACGGAGGACTTGGAAATAAACTCGTTAGCGCGGCGACAAGCAAACTGAACACGTGGGGCTTCACTTCCGGAGATGCGCGCGCAAAAACAACGACGACCTCTACCGAAATATCAATGAAAGACAACTTTCGTGTTGATTTTATATAGCAGACGAATCACTATTGTATTATTTAAAATATTTTTTTATTAAGTGATGCTGAATAGATATTGAAATGAAGATATCGTTTTGGCTCCAGTCTAATTCATATTTCTTTATATTTTATCTATTCTAATAATATTTTATGATTACACATATCAATTTGATATTAAAATCAAAATAATTTTTTATCATTTTTTTCAAAGTTTGAGTCTGATAAAAAATTTAATCAACCTAATTTTATGAATATAACAAACTATTGTAAACACTATAAATAACTAATTTTATGAGCATATAACTAAGTACTACCAAGATTTGAGCTGAAAAGATAAAAACGTATTTTAAATAATTTAAAAAATAACTCCATTTTAATATAATTTTGGCTTAAATTTGAATGATAGCATAAAAAAAAGCTAATCCATATGAAAATAAAAATAAATTTTCGTATATAAAGTTTGTAGATATTTTTAGATTTTCACTCGTCGCTCCTGGACTTACTGAAGTGCAGTTATAGACGAAGAATGTAAATAACAAATTAAAAAAAAATCTCTTTAAAATTCATGTTCTATGTGTTTCAAACTTTAAAGTAAGTAGATTAATAAATTTAAAGATCAATTGACTGGGTCTTGTAAGTAATGTTTACTTTTTACTTAAGACATAACGTTTACTTATGTAGCTGTTGTGTCATAACAACTGTAGTTTTCTACTGCCATCCCAAATAAGTAAAAAAAAAAAAAAAAGAAAAGAAACAGCAGCAGCACAATAATCAAACAATTGGTATTGTTATTTTAAAAAATAAATTATCATTAACTTCATATAAATAAAAGTTTAAGATTATAATTTTTTATTCTATATGATTTTATTAAACTTAGAAGAATGAATTTTATTTTTATTCTACATTGAAAGTATAAAAAAAGGAATTAATTAAAAACTAGCTAAATATTACTTCTGAATTTAATTCATTGCTTTTATGTGTGGATTATTTTCTTACCTGTTTGATGTCATAAAATATTTAAATGCAATTAATGAAGTCTTTATAATAATTCTAATTTAAAAATTTATTAAAATAAAGGAAGTGCTAAAAAAATTTTTGGAGTTGATAAAACTCAATGCTAAGATATTAAGCTCCTGAGAGGAAGATGTAGACTCGTCCTTTCCTACCTATCACCCCTAGTAACAGAACAGTCTATACCTTATGCCTACGTACAGAAAACTTCGACAAATAAAAAAAACGTATTAGGCGAATCAACAAATCTCATTGGTTAATGACACAATAATCTGAAAGTTTCACGTGCAAAACAAAATTGCACCAAAACTTCTTTGAGCCGATTTTGGACTTTCAAAAACATATAAAAGAAAACACCGACTGACCAAAAGGGTCAGAGACGAACATCCACAGAGAAATTGCCAACATACTCCATGTCACTCGAAATCACAACTTTACCATGCAAAAGTACATCAACACTGACTCACTTGCGATTTAAACTCGACCAACTCTGTGGACATCCAATCGCAAACCTAAAACAACTTTGCTTATCCAAAGTGAACTATACTCACTACATTATTAAGTAAAAATCAACATTCGAACGATTCAGAAATATTACAGTCAAAGGTAGACCACTCTATAAGAACTCATTCCTAAAAACACTTAACATCAACATTTTTAATGTTAATTAACACAACCCCAGAAAGACTGTAACTGAACATACAAATACAAAAAGAGACATACCAAAACCTCAAATATCACACACACTTTGCCATAGTAACATATACCAAAATATCCTGTATATATATTACTTTTAATTGTATATGAATGTTTGGTTGGTTTCTAAATTGAATATGTCTTGTTTTTGATTGTATTTAAAATTCATTTATTTATTTGTTTATGGATGCAGAAAGTCACGCAACCTACACAAATTCCTTCTGATTCACTCAATTACAATTAATTAATTCTGCACATCCCCAACAAAGGCAATTCAGAACGTTTTCCTATTTGATCTTATATACAAAAAAATCTGACAGGGTTAGGTTTAAATAATAAAATGCAATTATTTAAAAATATTTCTGATATTAAAATCGCATCGAACTTTACATTTTTCAATTCTTCAAATAAATCTTTATTTAATAAAAATAAAATCTTTTTCACCAATAGGAAGAAGAATTTCAAAATCACAATGAAAAATTGCAAGTTAATTTTTCAAAAATAAATATTTGTTGTAGATTTCCCCCCTATCAAATTAGAAAGAAAATAATGTTTTATTAAATTTAAAAGCTCCTACCCACACCAAAAAATGCATTCACTTTGGTGGTTCCTACACTTAACCATAGTAAATAACACTATAAAAGCTACATCACTGCTCATACAGTTGTAGGAAATTCAGTCATTTAGGTTTTTATATTAAAAATTCAAATGTCCAAATTTCAAGAAATAATAAAATAAAAATAAAAAAGACGTGAATGTCTGTTAAATAATTCATTTGTATTTACAAACATTTATACATGAATTCAAAAAAGTTAAAAAGTATTAAAAATAGTCTTTTGTTGAGTTAAAGTCTTTGCGTAGTTGACTCACAGAAAAGGCTGTAGTTTAGAAAAAAACTTTTAAATAGTTGGTCCACAGAAAAAAGCTGCAGTTGAAAAAAGTCTTTTATTGTTAGCTAAAATTCACTGATTATCTTTGTTGTTAGAGATGATTCATTTAAAGTCGACAACTGGCTGTCAACAAAGATTCACCAAATAAATAACTATAGTGAGAAATCCTCAGCTTAAGATAATGTATATGAGTTATGTTTCAGCTTTTTGAAACAGACAACTCAATATTTTACCCATGATTCTCTACTAAATTAAATGCACAAGTCTAAAATTGTAAAGTAATCTATAAGGATTGAACTAGATTAAAAATAGTTTCAGATACCAGTTTGTTTTAGAGGAAAGAAATCATCAGTGACACAAATTATGGCTTGGCTTTGCAAATAAAATTTTTGTGTTTTTTTCCTAGATTGCTCTATCAGAAGTGAGAGAGTCAAAGGATAACTGTTAGTTTTGTGTTAGTTAATTTTTTAAGGTAGAGTTCCACATGTGCATTACTCAGCCTACTTTTCAAAACCAAGGGATCATATGCTATAATATAAATAAATGGCACATGTAGTTGAAGGGACAGAGGAAAACAATGCATAACATACTTAGTGAGCTTGACTAAATGGATGACAGAATGAGGTTTAGAAGAAATAACAAAAAGACAAAATTTATTAAGAGCTACAAAGGACAGGAAATTGTGGACAGCCATGATCGCCTTATGTCCTGAGGGGACACGGCACATAAAGAAGTTGAACAGGAGCCTCTCCTGTGCTAAAAAATAAAATAGGATGCTATAATAACAACTATTTCACCATCACTAGTGAATGGCTTCACCATGTCAGTACCCAGTGATGCCTTTACTGATCCCAGCAGGAAGGACAACCATCCTATTGATCACATGATTATGCAATGTAGTGTGGGTTATCCCACTTGACTTTGCTAAATAGTTTCATTGGAGACACTATTGGCTACCATTTAAATTAAAACCTCAGAAATACAAAGAGACATACATAATATTTGAAAATCACTTGGATGTCTAAATTTCTTTATTCTGTTGTCAACATTTTGTTCAATCCTCACAACAGCTGAAAAAATTAGAAACAGTGTGATTAGTTTGAAAATTTAGCAGTTAATAAAATTAAAAATAAATATTTGTGAATAAAATAAATATATGTAAACAAATCAATATTTGTATGTAGGAAAATGTTAAAACAAATGTAAAATATAGTGATTTGATGTAGAAAAAATAAAAGATTTATGAATAAAAAGATATTAATAGATAATAGTAAAATAGTATATAACATTCGTTGTGATAAATTGCATAATATTTTATGACTGATATGAAATATCTGAATAAAGTATGTATATAAGAGGGAATATATGAAAACTGGTTAAATGTTTAAATTTTTTATTCTGTTGCCAAGTTTTGTCATGGGGGACACTGGGAATGCTACACTTGGCAAATCGCCAACATGCATCAAAGTTGACTTTCCTATGCTGTGTGTTGACAGAGGATTCAATCTTGAAGGGGAGTGTGAGGGCCGCATTTCCTCACTTTGCCATCACCTCTCCTGTTTCTAGGGCTGAGTGCCATCATAGGCCCCAGGATCAGTCGAATTTTTTCCTTGGATGTCAATCAGCCTTACGGGTCATTCCTTGGTCCATCGACCTTTCTTAGCCTAGGAGAATCTTGTATTGGGAATTAGTGGAGGAGGTTGTGAAGGATTCACTCTGTGACCAGTTTAGTTTATCAGCAACTGAGTTGCACTTTTTCTGGTCTTGTGCACTAGCGACGGATTATCTCAGCAATCCTGAGTTTTCACTTACCTGGTTTGGAATAGGCTACATCTCACTGATGTAGCCTTCAGATGGGGCTTGGTGGATTTGCCTGATTGTAATTAGTGTGACCATGGCTTAGAGGAAACAGCTTCATATGCCTTCTACCATTGTCCTCATGTGCGCTCTCTCTGGTACTACGTCAGCGAGTTGCTTGTGTTCATTGATTGCGCATATGCGTGTGACAATTTGTTGCCCCTCCCCATATTATAGGGTGAAATGGATGGTGTTTCTGACACTGCTGGCCATGGCTAGAACGGTGATTTGGACAACACAGATGGAGAAAATCTTACGATATGATTGCTATTCTCATCAGGATCTGATCAGATTCTTTGTGTATCACCCCAGGATGAAGATTAGAACTGATAG